ACCCATCGGGGCCGACTCCAAGGTCAGTGCTGAGCTCCTCAGTGGGCGATGAGCAGAGGCAGAGGCTGATCAGCCTCCTGTTTGCTCTGGTCTGGCTCTGAGCAGCTCTTTGGGGTCTCTGGCTGCCGGCCGTGTGCTCATCGGGCAGAGCGGCGCTGGGGTGCGCACAGGGGGGCTCACGGTGGGCTGCTTTGGCACAGCATCTCATTCCAGGGTCTAGATCCAGCCACATGACCAAATGCTGAATTGCTCTGGAGAGAGCTGCAGGGAGCCAGCCTGCATAGGGCCTGCAAAACTCATAATTTGGGAAAAGCGCTGAGGTCTGATTTTTGTCAGATGCTTACTGCTTCATGATGGAAATCAAGAGTTCTTTCTGTGTATATATGTATTGAGAGCATTTGGATGGCAAGATGGTTCTGCTGGGTTTTTTTTTCTTTATGCCAATTTGTAATAGCATCTCTGATGTTAAGACACTAACACCAGGCAGGACATGAAGAAACACAAACTGCAGGACCTGAAAATATCTGCAAGCCTGGTGGTTGAAACTGTTTTGATCTCCATAAAAACTGGAAATTGGTTTGCTGCTTATGTATAGAAATATGGTATTACCGAAGTCATTAGCATATAGCTTCAGGGCCAGATAAATGTTTGTGGCAATAATAACGTACACCTGAACTAGAGGGAATGCAAGAACCTGAGAACTTGCAGAACCTCAAATCTCCAAACTGTTGGTTTGAAGCATCTTCTGCCGCCCTGGAAGTCCAAAGTGAATGTGATTGTGTCAGTGATTTTGGTTAAATGTCCTTCCCTGAAGTGCTTGAAGAGGAGCTGCAGCCCTATCCACTGAATCAGACAAACTTAGGAACAACAAATCCATCCTTTACTGCCCAGGCTGGTGAGACAGGAGCTTGGCTTTAGGGCTGCTCAGGGGGAGAGAAAAGCTTCTCACTCCTTCTCTCCTCCCTTTCTGTTCATTGCAGGAGCTGCACTTCAAGAACCGCTACTGGCATGACAGCTGCTTCCGCTGCTTCAAGTGCTACACATCCCTGGTCAACGAGCCCTTCATGCTGAGGGAGAACAACAAGGTTTGGTGCAGCAACTGCACTGCTTCTGAGGATGCACCCAGGTGTAAGGGCTGCTTCAAGCCCATTATTGCAGGTACTGTGCCAGTGATGGGTCTGAGGGCATGACCAGGGGGGTTTATCAGGCTGTGGAGGCTGCAGTTAGGGGTTAGGGCATGACAGTTGAAAGGCTGGAGCACCTCAGAATAGTAAATTTTGACTGTTGCTCTCACCTGTCCATTTTATTCAAGTGTTGAAAGGCTGCTTTGCCATTAACCCTCATGTCAGTCTTAAACTATTTCTACCAAAAGCTTTGCTTGGTAAATTGAGGTCCTCAAAGGCTCAGGCAGCTGATAACTATTTTAAGAAAATCTAGCAAGCCCTGGCTAGAATCAGCTACAGAAATTACCAGCTCATCCCTTGTCTGCATTCCTGAAATCCTGGGCGTAGCTATGGACAGGTCTTGCCCACAGATGTTACACTGCACAAGGAAAAGCGTTTGCCACAGGCCTGAAATCTCACAGGACAAGTTATTTTTATCTGTTGTAGGAGACCAAAATGTTGAGTACAAGAAGATGGTCTGGCACAAGGACTGCTTCACCTGCAGCCAGTGCAAGCAAGTGATTGGATCTGGGAGCTTCTTCCCCAAGGGTGATGACTTCTACTGTGTCTCCTGCCATGAGCACAAGTTTGCCAAGACCTGTGCTAAGTGCAAGAACGTAAGTCCTTCCCCTCTGCAGAGGCAGCTGCCAGAACCAGCCCTCGTGTGCCTTTTGGGAGCTGGGAGGGTGAACCAGCAGGCAGACCATGCTGAGGCTGTACCAAGGCTGATGTTCTTCCCCTGAGATGCCAGTGCCAGCAGCTGGTGGAATGATGGGAGAGCTGATGGTTCCTGTGCATTACTGGATCTGGGCAGGGGTGGTTGGGTTAGCTGATGGAAACACTGCAGAAACCAAGTGATACCTGTCTTGCACTTGCCTTGGGCATAGTTTAAGCTCTGTAGGGTACTGAATATTCAGTAAGTGAAATAGTAGCTGTTTTACAACTTCTGCAACTGATTAGTGTGGAATTTCAGTTACTGCAGGTAAAAGAAAGCATTATGAAAGCGCCAGGTAGGTGGGATTTCAGGTTAGAGGGACTCAAGTGCACTGTGCAATTAAATTTTGATGCAAACTTTGAAAAGATTCTCTCCATGACAAAGCTTTCCTACCCTACACCCCTTGCCTGTGTCCCCTCTCTTCTCCCCTGCTAATTCTAAACCACACCTCTGCTCTTTCTCCCCCAGCCCATCACTTCTGGAGGCCTCACTTACCAGGAACAGCCTTGGCATTCCGAGTGTTTCATTTGCTCCAACTGCAAGAAGCAACTGGGTGGGAAGCGCTTCACAGCTGTGGAGGATCAGTTTTACTGCGTTGAATGCTACAAGGAGTGTGTTGCCAAGAAGTGTGCTGGATGCAAGAATCCTATTACAGGTATGTTGGGTTAAATGCAGCTCGAGGGCAGTGGGTGCTGAAGGTCAGGACAGTGATCTCCCAAAGAGAGGGAGCTCAGGGATGGGTAACATCAGAAGCAGGTCTGGTAACCCAAGCCCAATCCCAGCATTTTACATGTGATCTGACTCCTGAGCCATGTGCTTGTGCTGGATGGAGGCTGAGCTGGTAACTGAGCTCTTCAGCCCCTGCATGTCTCAAATGTACCTCCTTCAAAACTCCCCCAACCAGAACTATTCCCGCCCATATCTTAGTTTGGGACCCTTAAGTCTAAACTGAGTGGTGTTTTATTGTGCCAAAGGGACATTTGTACCCCTTCTGATGTATTTTACACTTGAAACTCACTGGATTACAGAGCTCAGCCCTGGAATGTGGGCACTGTCCTGCCAGTCCCATGAAGCTCAAATTCCATCCTGCATTTTAGGGAATTTTAGAGCACAGATCTGTGTTTAGCCCAACCTGTCCTTGCTCCACATCTCTCCTTGACTGTTTGCTGGAGGAAAGGAGCCAAGGGAAAAAATTCATTGCAGAGACAAGCCATGCAAGCCTTATGCTTAGGTTTCTTCTTCAATAAACATCAGAAGATGCCACAAAACCATGGCTCAGTTGCCACCTTGGTGTTTCAGGCAAGCCTGGGGAAGCACGGGGCAGCAGGAGCAGGCAGGGCTGTTTGGTGGGAATGCCCAGCCAAGGCAGCGCTACTATCGCCGTCCTATAATTGTGTTCTCTCCTAGCAGGATTTGGAAGAGGAACCAGTGTGGTTAACTACGAAGATGAGTCCTGGCACGATTACTGTTTCAAATGCACAAAGTGTGCCCGTGGGCTGGCCAACAAGCGCTTTGTTTGCCATAATGGAAAAATTTATTGTGCTGAGTGTCCCAAACGACTGTAAATGAGCAGATGTAAGATGGATTTTAAAGGCCTGCTTTCCCAAACAGCCCTGGTAAAAGAGCAGGTTTTTGCATGTTGAGAATTTTAACTTTTTTCATTTTAGTGTAAGAACTAAATTAGCCTCAATATACTGGGTTTGACTTTTGAAGCTCTTGCAGTACAAAAGCATGTAGCCTTGCAAAAATCTAACCTTGTTTCCAAGTAACTCCTAGTATAAAGGCTTGAAATGCTGTTAGATTTAGAGATCCACACACTGCATCATCTGTGTGTGGCTTAAACTAAAACAAATCTAGTTTTAAGCTTATCTGGTATATGATTAAGCTTGGCACTTAACTGAAGTGGGTTTGACAAGGCATGTACCTCTGACACAGAGATGCAAAGATTGCATGTGGGATCAGAAGGATCCATTATTATGCTTCTACAAGTACAGCTACACAACAAACACTACACCATTAATAAGTAATAAATACCTTAGCTTACTCTACAACACCACATTGCAGCACATGTACGGAATGGCTTCATCTTACATGAACAGATAACAATGTTTTGGCAGTGACATTTAGCTTAGTTAAGTTTCCATAAACTTGTTTTAGTCTTGATTTCCGTGTGGTTTGCCCGCAAGTTTTCCTCATCAGCTTTTTTTATATCATTGTTTAAACAAGGCTGTCTATGTACAATTATTAATCCATTAACAAGTAGTAAATCTTTCACCTACAACATGCACATGCACTTACAAGTGCCTTAAAAATAGCTCATACAAGGCTAGCTCTCCTATCATGTCAGTGTATGTTTAGTGACTGAATAAAAGTGAGACTAGTGCCTGCTTGGAATCCATAGTCTGGATTTTTTTTTTTTCATTTTGATATCTTATATGATTGACATTCTTAGGGCTGAGCTACTGAAACCAAGTCTACTACACTGATACTGGCAAAGTAAGAGTCAGCTGTGCTGTCACTGCACCCTTAAATATCTGAGGAGTAAAGCAAAAATTTCCATAAACTAATTAATTTTTTTCATATATAACTGACACTGGACCATCTGCCAGAAACAGCCTGTGTGAAAAAGCCCTTTGGAGAGCATATGTACAGCCACTGTTCATGCACAGATCCACCACACTTCAGCAACCTCAGTGCTGGTTTAAGGAGGTTTTTTCCCACAGCAGTGAAATACTTTATCAACTGGATCTGCTCCAGCCATTCCCTTTCAACTACTGATAAAGAACCCTCGCAAGAAAATGAAAAGGCAGCACCTTGCTGGTCACTGCTCCACTGCTGGACTCACCCTCACAACACAGAGATGCTGCTGCTGCAGGGGAAAGGCAAAGGCTGGCAGGGAAAAGCAGGTTAGAGAATTCCTCGGTTCAGAACACGCCATCAGCACGGACAAACACAGCAAGAGCTGAAGGTGTTGTTAGTGCAAATCCCCTCCCAAGCACACAGGCTGCTAGTGTGGGAATCTGGAGCAGTTAGAGCAGCACCAGAGTGCATCCCAAGGCAGGTCAGCGTGGCAAGGGGTGGAGAGGCCTGGTAAGGTCACATTTAACATTACAGAAATAAAGCATTGTTCAACTGCAAAGTTTATTTAACTGTGCGCACGTATTTACACAGGGCTGGATCGGACCAGCCAACAAATCCCAGCACAGAAAAAATACCGGCATCTTTGTTAGAATGATTGTCTCTGCCAGAACAAACAGCTATCATACAAAAATACACTTCTCCTTTCACCTAAGGCACTGCTCTAAAGTCTAAAACAGTTCTACAGGATCTCTGAACAGCAAGAGGGAGGAGGCTGAGGGCTCCTGCTGCAGCTGAGGATCAGCCAGTGGCTCGTAGCAGGTTTTGAGAGAGCTACTCTTTAAAGTAATGACCTAGCCAGTCTATCTGGTACAGGAGACATCAGAACGAGGCTGCATTATTACTTTTAGTAGCAATTTCAGAAGATGCTTCGTTAAACTCTTCATGCTGAAAAAAGCAGGCAAATTCAGGTTAAATAGATTATTTAATGCAGGCTTTAGGGGAAGGGAAATATATATGCAGTTTGCAGCCACTGTTATAGAGCTGGAACTGGATGGAACACTTGGAATAATTAACATGAACAAAACATGACTTCAATGGTCTAATACTGTTATGTACACAATAAAATAATACTTCCATAAGTGTAGATAAATAAGTAATTCAAAAGGAAAACATTTTAAAAAGCCTAACACCTTAAACTGCACCAACAGACAAATCTAGGGACTCAACATTTTTGTAATATATTAGAGCACATGCTGAAAAATGTTTTGATGTTTGCCAGTAGATTAAAACATATTAGTGATGGTACAACACTTGCATTTTGAACTGCCAATATTTTCACATTAGGTAATAAGGAATTTTTCTTCTCCATTCAAAATTGAAGATACTCAATTTTGCATTTTTAAATAGCACATGAAACAACAAGCAACAACATTTTTCTAGACATTAAAAAGGGAGTTCAGCTTTAACATACACTGAGTGAGTCTTTTATTTCATCAAGATCATTTTAGAAATATGCAAAGTCTGCAGTTAAGTGGGGAGCCTCCAGTGGCATGTTCTACATGATACTGATATGAAAATAATAATAAAAAAAAGACTCAATCAGGTTACTGTAAAGTCTGTAAAGGAGAAACAAGGAATACTTGAACTAGGAACCCTTATCTAACAATTAGCTAAACGAACAAAAAAAGAACATTAGCACAACAGTTTCCCTGAAATGTTTCAAGGTGCAAATTTTGTCATCCCTCCCCTGTTGTTTTTTGCAAACTTGAAGATGGATAAAGGTAAACAAGCAGCTTTTCAAAACAAGGCCTTCGGTACTTGAGAAAACACTGGATTACTGAAGTGCAATCAGATTATTTCCAGGTCTCTAGTGTTCACAGTTCTGTCCAAAGAGCAAAGAAAAGAAAACATTTAACCATCATAACTGTGTGTAGGCCAAATGTATCCATCATCACTGTCAGTCTACATCCAGCAGTGAGCACTTGGTCACTTACAGTCCAAAACCAGCACAGTAGGTTTTCTTTCTTTTTACAGGAATATTAGCTCTCAAAGTTATGTACAGAATTCTTAAACTGTATTACATTTAAAAATTTTCAAGTTCAAAATTAAAAGGCCACACTTCCTTCACTAAAAAGTTAATGAGTCTGATCACAAGAAAAAGTGAAGAGCAGAATCACAAGAAATTTGTCTGTTCCCATGGCCCTGCCTGTTGTGGCCTCAAGGGAAGCCCCCATCAGGGTGTGCCCATGGAACTAAAATCCACCAGACGCAGAGTGACAGAGGAGACTTGGGAAACAGTTCAGTCTAGGAAAGTGCTACACTTTAATCGGAGAAAGTGCTACACATCACTGGAAGGAAATGTGGATAGCAAGGCTTGTTTTTCCACTAGCATTCACTTCAACTGATCACACAGTCATTTATCCCACTGAAAGAGATCTCCTGTGAAAACAGCCCTTGGGGGTTTGGCTCCAACACCAGAGAAGTCCAGTCTTACATAAACTGGCTTCCTGAAGCTTCTCTGACACACTATGCACTGTACTGCATCAGGGCTTGGCTTCTCAAGTACATGTGGCTTGACATACAGCCCTGCCTCTTTCAGAAAATTCAGAATATTCTGTGTGCAGCTTTATTACTCCTCCCAAAATGTAACACAACCACCTGTGGAATTTCAGGTTGGTGTTACTTGCCTCAGTGAAGTGAAAGACTGTTCCACAGTAAGTAGAGAGGACAGCTAATACACTGCTAAGAGTCTGAAGAGATCTTGTAAGACCACATAGGTCAGCATCAAAAACAGATCATGCCTAGGAGTGAAAGGGTCTGGTATGTAAAGTTACATCAGACACCTTTTAAACTATTTTCAAAAGTAACATGTGCCATTTAACATGTCTTAGAAAAACCTTAAATACAACATATGAGCTTCAATGCTGTTTGGAACGTCACAAGGGCTCAGCTGTGTCTTTGGAAGAGCCTTAATGTTGGGTCTTATCAAGTCCCTAAAAAGGCATCAGTTGGTGACTCCTTTTGAGAGAATTCAAGTTAAAAGCACTAAAGAAAGAGCCTTCCCTCCAGTCTACACATTGGAAAAAGTGCCTTGGAAATAAGAAGCTGTAGTTAAGGCAAGGAGAGCAAAACGCAAGGAGGTGAATTGCCTAGCCAGGGGAAGAGACAGACAGGGAAGTCAGCTTGGATTACCTGATGAAGCATCTATAGGTTTGGTCAATGAATTCACTGCACCATCTTCCTCAAAAGCCAATTTGGGGCTAGAAGGTAGTGTAGCAGCATCATTCAAGTTTTGATTACAGTTACCAGCAGAGATGCTGTCCGAGCTCAGTTTGGTTGACTTGGAATGTACTCCAACATCAATGAACTCCTCAAAAGTCCATGAACCAGATTTTCCATTGAGATTCTGAATAAGTCCAATTGTATGATCAGCTTCATGAACACCCAACTTCCCCGAGTCATCAATAATCACTTCTTTTGCAGGATGACTACAGAAAACAGAGAATGGAAAAATAAAAAGCTTGTGTTGCACTTTCCACATGTTTAACCTTACATTGATTCCAGGACAGATAATTAACAGTCTGCATACTCTGCAAAGCACTGAATATCCCACAGGGCACTCCCAGACAAGCTTCAGCTGCCACACAGGATCTCCCCTTCAAGAGCCAATGGGGAAGAACAACTCTGCAATATATACTCATTTTTTACTAAACTAACAGCCCTCAGGTAAGGTTTCTGCCTCTAGAAATTTGATATAAGAAAGTAAAAGTTTAAAGGTTTGATTATTAGATCTTGATTTTTGTAGGGTGCATTTTTCCTTGTTTTTCTCCAGCTAAGACTTTTTGAACACAAAACTAAATCTCAGAAGACCAGCAATATTTAAAACAGATTCAAAAGCTAAACCCAAATTATGGATCAATTTTCACTCATTCTTAGGACAATCATGGAAATGTCTTTATATTCCATCACTGGAGGAATGACATTAATTTATCATCACTTTAAAAAAGTGTTCACAATGTCATTTCTAAATCATTAGCATTTAGATGAGCAAATGGAACAAGCATCAGAGGACAAATTTTCCAGTAGCAGATGAAAAAGCTTTATGTTAAAAAAAATTAAATTGAACTTCTGCATTGTATCTGGTGCTTCAGCACAACTGAAAGCATTCTAGAGCTTTCTGTAGGTTATTCTTCCTTTTCAGTGTTATCCTCCTCCCTCTTGTTTAATGTTTTGTTAATGAGAAGAACTGCAAGGCATTTAAATGGAAAAGGCTTCAAGGCAATGTCAGTTTTTATAACCAACACTGCCATGTTGCTGGTTGTGTGTCTCACTTCTCAGCACTGCTAACATGGTGCCATCTAAACAAACAATTATCCTGAGCTACCTGCTCTGTGTGAGGCTGTGAGCTGACAGCACACACCACGTGGCTGGAGAAAGGCACAAACACCACAGAGCCAGCAAGGTGCTGCAGACAGCACTGCACTTATTTAAACACAGACAAGAGCTTTCTTGTGTGAGAGCTAAGTGCTCCACAGGACAGCACACTCACCTGGAATCCTTTAGCTCAGTAACAGACAGAGATCCCTTGTCACTTTTCAAGTCACTTCCATTCATGAACACTTCAGTGGCCTTCACCTCTGACTCATCTTGTGCCTCAGATTCTGCAGAGATCATGCTTTGTGCAGTCTCTAAACAATCCTCTGCCTCCCCCTTGACGTCCTGGAGCAAGTCAACACCATTTAGCTTTCCTGAATGTTGTGGGGACAGAGGGAGGAGAAAAAATTAAATACAAGGGAAAAAGAACGTGAGTAGCAGAATTGTTATTCTAAATTAATAAAATACAAGTGCCAAAATAACCCTTCCCAGCCAAAACCTGAGGCACTTGGCTTCAATAGATTCATTTGTCTATAGACAAGCTGCCTATACCAACATGAAATTAGTTTTTCATCTTCAAAAATCCATTTGTAAAATGAAAGCATGCTGCCTGAATTTCAGTCTTCAATCATTTTGACTGATTCTCTGCTCAAGAAGGGAGTGCCCCTGGCATCTCTGGGACTGGTGTCTCAGGCCATCCCAGTGCTGTTAGGACAGACCTTTTCAACAGAGCTTAAACATCACTGAAACTCACTGCCACCCAGGCCTGACTCACTCAGCTTCCTTACCTGGTTGGTCAGTCTTCTCAAGACCCAGCTCCTCCTCCTCTTCAATATCCTCTCCCTCCATCACCTCCGAGACAGACTTCCCTTCATTCTGCAACTGAATTGCCACAGTGTTACGTGGAACAGCTCCCTGTCCTCCACAGTTTCACAAATTCAGTCACAGCCCCCACACAAGACCATTCTGTGCCCAGAAATGAGGCCACATGAGTTCAAAGGCTCACAGACATCCAGGTCAGCAGCAACACCTGCTCTGCAGAGCCAGAGCCTGCGGGTCCCACTTCCACCTCCCACCTATTATTCCTGAGTTCCTTTTCCCCTCTTTTCTGCAAGGTGTGTGCTGAAAATTTATTGATTTTCAGCTATTGGAAGACTTGAATATTTGAATGTTCAAAGAGGAACAACTATTCCTCAATATGCACAATTTTTCACAAAACTTAGATCACTGCATTAACTGAAATACATCCAGTTTACTGCAGCAATAGCAATGCAAAGAGAATTGCTCTAAGCAATTATTTTGCTTTAAGCAAACAGATGATGCCAGAAATCTAAGTTTTCTGAGAAAAAACAGTCCTGGCAGAATGCACACAGTTAAAAAAGATCCATTACTGGAATCCAAAAGATTCCAGTGTTGGGTTAAAACAAAAAATCCATTAGTAACCAGTGTTGGGTTAAAACAGCAGTTTAAAAACCGGTCAGGAACTGATATTACCAGACAACATTGTGTCTATAGGCCTGGAACAAAAATATAACAAAGACTCTTCACACAGAAAGCACAGCAGAAGAATGTGTGCAATGGCAAGCTACTGGAAATTCTTCTGTTCTGGTGCACCAGAACTTTGCACTTCCTGTGGAAGCCATTTTGTGTAAGGATAACAGAGGAAGACAGGATACAAGGCAACAAGTCCTATTCTGTCATTATACAGATCCAAACAAAAAAGTACCTTGGATTCATTTTGATCTGATTTCCGTGTCCTTTTCATTATTTCTTCGATTCTCTGTTAAAACATGAAGAACATTTACAATGACATACAGAACTTTATATTTCAGCATTCTGGTTAAAATTCATCAATCATAATATATTTTCATATTTCATGAGTGCACTATTTTCATCATTGATTTTGAATTTCACAAATCAGAGTTGGCAGCCTTTAAAAAACCACACTTCTATTTAATTGCATGTGAGACCATTTGCCTGTTCATTTTAGGATGAGAATTCAAAACAGGCTACCTTTTTTCTTTCAAGCCTTTCCTGCATATTTTGCTGCATAATCCTCTCTCTTTCCAGCCTTTGTCTTTCAGCCTCTTCTTGAGCTTTTGCTTCAGCTTCTTCTCTCTGAAAATAAACAAAAAGAAGAGAGCACCCAGTGCATAACTTATTCCCAATAGTAAAATGCAAAGGAGTTACAGAATCTGGTTCAACACTGACAGTAACATCAGACAATCATTATTCAATATGAACGCACATTACAACTAAATGTCAATTTCTGACATGAAATATATATTACTATGACATTAAAAAACTGAAACCAACTATACTGAGGTAATGCAAATGTTCTGAATGTTGCTGAGCTACTGAATGTTGTTGTTCAGACTATGGTTTGGGATGAACATTTGGCTAACGAGGACAATCTATAAGGTAACAAGACAGCAATTAAATTCTAAATGTGTCAAGATTAACTTAAAAATTTTGGCAGTCAGGTATTGCTACCAAGACACTTGGTGCTGAACATTACTCTTTCGACACTGGAAAATCTTTTCTAGTATAACTGGAAAGAAGATAGAAACATAGTTAACACTCTGAGTAATTGCTGTTAACAAACATTTAAAGAAATATCCAGACACATGGCAAAGCCATTCACAGCTCTTTGAACACAAATAATTTCAATGTAAAACTGCTTTAGCTTTCAGAATTAATCTATCTTAAAGAAAGCCTGCTTTCTGCAGAACTGCTCCCTTCAGTTCAAAGGATGCCTTTGCAAAGGTACTTCCTGTGGAAGACTTTCAGCAACATGAAAAGCAGACTTGGAAACACTACCAATCTTTCTTTGAGAGGAATCAGAAAAAACCAGTTACTTTCCAGACAGACCATCTCCTTGTAACTCATAGCAGTCTGCTGGTAAAGTGGGATCAGTACAAATATTTTCCATATGCAAAACAGCATCTCTGATGACTAAAAAAAAAATATTCCAAAATAGCTGCTTCTGCCCACACTTGAATTTATTAAATGCTAGGGGAAAAAAAATAAAAATCACAGAGACCAGGGCAAGGAAAGGACCTACAGACCTACAGTCTCAAATCCATCTCAGCCAGGATGAACTCAGCCTCACATCATGCCTGACAGAGATTTGTCAAAACCATTCTGTGAAAGAAAAATCAAAAACAACCCTCTTGAAACCACAGCAGCAGCTTCTTCCAGGAACCCAGCTGGAGGCACAGACCTGCTGTTGAAGCTCTGCGAGTTTTTCCTGCTCCTCCTGCTCCCGGCGGATCCTCTCCTCCTCAGCTTGTCTCTGCTGCTCTTCGTAGGTCACTCTCCTCTCCTCCTCCTGCTTCCGCAGCTCCTCCTCCCGTCGTGCCTTTTCCTCAGCTGCCCTCCTGGCCATTTCTTCTTCTCTGATTCTAGAATTTCCAAGGTACAGATTACTGGGTATTTATTTCTTTAGAAGTGTGCATGCACAAGAGGCAGAGTAGGAAAGCAAGAAAGTTTTAGGCAGTCAGAAAATAACTGTATAAAGACACTTTCTGGGGTGGATTTACAAATGCCACCATCCAGACTTGTCAAAGTGAAAATTGGAATAACTTGGAAAAAATTATCTGTGAGTAAAAGCTCTTTGCTAATTAAGTCAAAGCAGGTCGTTCCAATAATGGAATATTTGATTGAAAACTGGATTAAGCAATGATCATTTAATAAAAACCATCTGCAACCATGACAAGAATGAAGCTTACAATCACTGTCAAACATAAATTTAGTGGGATTTCCTAAAAGACTCTTCTACAGCCTGAATTCAGAGATACACTGAAGGTGCACACTGCCAGCTCTTGCAGACATACAGGGCAGATCTGATGACATACTTCTAGAGCAGATTATATGCAAGTTTCTGACAGCTTCATATCCACAACTGGGAAACAGACAAAATCTGTCATTCCACCCTGTTTATAGAAGGCAGGTGACCCCAACCTAGAATAAAGTTAGTCAGCACTAACTTAGCCACTTATTTTAACAACTTCTATGCAGTGAACCAAATACATACTGATTTACCACTTTGAATTACTTGCCTGCAACATTCCTGATCCATATTTCATACCACTAAAGTGAAATTTAATGTACCATCAAACCACTGCCTAAGCTGATCAAAGGGAAGTTTAATACAGAGAGTTTGACTCTTTCAAACCAAATATGAACAAACCAACACTATGGTGCACAAAGCACATTCTAGTTGTGAAACAAAAGCCCCACTGGTGTCTGGAAGGAAAAAGAAGCAGTGATTTCACAGGGACTGTGCATTACATATGTACTGAGATATAAACTGGTGTTACACACAGTAACCTGTACCAGGTTGGTGCCAGTGCCTCTCAGCTTGAGGAACTGTATTAACGTTTGCAGGAACTTAAATTAAAACTTAGAAAACATATACAGCTGGAGTGTCCTTTCCAGCCACACCCCACCACTGAAAGCATCCCTTTCTTCCCCTCAATTGTTACCTTTCCTCTTCTTGTCTCTGAATTCTTTCTTGGTCTTCACGCTCTCTTTGCTCCCGTGCCAGACGTCGCTTCTCTGTCAGGATTTTAGCAGCTTCTTCAGCTGTGGTGGTCCCTGCTACTGTTTTGCTACCTGATTCTGCAAAGGTTAAAAGAATCTGCTGTTAGAAAGTTCCAGGAACTTAAAATTGTGAAAGATGTTATCTCTGTGAGATGAGATCTTATGGCAAACTGATTCAGCATCTTTTCCATCAGTGCTCATCACACAGTGATTGCACCCTTATCTGTAACAGGCCTGCAAGAGCCAAAGGGGAGCCCTGAAGATGCAGAGCCAAAATATCTCACTGACACTGAAATAGTAACAGCTCATTTCAACACTGATCCAGCCATAGTCCAGATGATACACTTAAAAGACACTCTTCAATTATCACAGCATTTAAAAACATGCTTCTGACAAGATATCCTTATTTCTGTAATGCTTGAACATTGAGAAGAAAACTGAAAAAAAAATCTGCTTTAGGAAATACCTTTCACTTCCTTCTAATAAAACTGAACGTACAGGACCCAAAAGAAGAAATTACCATTCTTTTCTTTTTCTTGTTTCATAACATTAACATTCATGCCTTTACATTTACAGTGTCTCAGCGTGCAAATGATCATCATTTTATCTGGCCCTGAAGGCACATACTAATGACTTCAGTAATACCATATTTCTATACATTAGCAACAAATCAATTTCCAATTTACATGGAGATCAAAACAGCTTCAATCACCAGGTGAGCAGATCTTTGCAGGTCCTGCTGTTTATGCTTCTTCATGACCTGCCTGGTGTTCTGGCGTCAGAACAGAGGCACTATTAGAAATTAACATCAGGAAAAAAGTCAAAACAGAACCATCTTGCCATCCAGCTGCTCTCAATATGTATACTGAAAGAACTCTGATTTCTATCATTTATTCCCTAGAAATATTTCAGTTTGAATGTGATTTTAAGAGCTCATCATCTGAATATTCAGAAAATCAGCTCTTGATGTCAGTAGAGCAGCAGCATCATAATGTTGGTGAGGACCTGCCTTTCTCCTGAACATTTCACAAATCAGCACATGTATGTTTGCTTAACATTTATAAAGCCTTGAAGTCGAGGTAATTTTAATGAACTATGACATCAGGGTTTGACCACTTGTTTTACTTCTGACCTGAAGACAAATCATTAAAAACACAATGTCATCATTAGGAACTTTAATACCTTTAAAGCTGCTTAGGCCCCATGGACACAAAATCACTACCTGCAACTGAAGGGTATAATTAAACACAGCTAACTCTCAGCAGCTGAATCATGGCTGTCCTTTGTGCAGAAAAATTCTTCTTGGAGTCCTAGGAAAAGCATTTCAGCACTGATGTAGTGCAGGCATAGAAAATGTTCTAACATTTAGATTTATCCAAAGCTGAGAAAACACCACCTCCCCAGACAACACATTGCTTCTGATGTGGGAAAAAGTTGCAGTGATGCTGGTACTAACAAAAATCAGCCATGAGTGTTCCAAATTTGAACTCAGTCAAAAGGGGTCCTCCTCCTCCTGAGCAAGAAAGACCATTTTGCATTTATGAAAACATTAGCAGATCTGCCTGTTCAAGACAGGCAGATGCTTTTCTTCCAATATTCTGTAACTTACTACGTTTCTTTTACTGTTGCCAGCGTACAGCCAAAGTCAAATTGCCTCTTTCTTCCTCTGCCATATGAGTGTCCTTTCTGTTCAGACTACTCACTTTTCACAGCAGAGACCATTTTTTGTTGCACGTTTGCCATCTCAGTTGTATCAAATCTGGTTGACACTTAATGTCAGGTTTAACCTATTTCCCCTCCTCAAAACTGAACCTAAATAAGACAACCTAATGCTCAGCAAGAAGACTAAAGGTTTTAGACTTAAGTTCTAGGGTTACAGCATGATGACAGCTTAAGTATGATATCTGCTATTGACAGAAGAAAATTAGTCACAACAGTTCAGAACACTGAAGATATGGAAAGAACAGAAGGAAAAAAAAGAAGAAAGGGTTGGGGACCTTCCCACTGCATTCTCACTTCTGCAGTTTTATTGATGATTTCCATACAGGTACTTCAATACTGTTTTCATCTCCATGTACCCCTGTATGGGCTGTTTCCACAGGGCAGGACATGAGATTTCCCAACATGCCTTAAGAAAATTCTGACAGTCTTTTACACTCAGCTTCCTTTTCCTTGTACTCCTAGTCATTCTTTTTATCAAAGGACTTCCCTTTTAGTAAGGGAAGGGGAAAGAGAGAAAGAGGCAAGAGAAACAATCTCTGAACACTTGCAAAATCTAGTACTAGCTGGATGGAGGGAAGATTCCAACAGATTCAAGGTAAGTAATTAATTCACAATTAATCCAGGAATCATATTTCAAAGCCTTCAATAACCAGATAGAAAATGTGAGGCTCCATGATAGTTTATTACCTATCATCATGCATAAGGTGAGAGCTCATGAAGGAGCACTTCTTATGCTTTAAGTTGCACAAGCCTTTTAATTCTCAGAGAAGCTGCGAGAGGCTGCTGCCAGAAATGACAACTGCTCCAGTCACTGAAAAATAAAAAGTGTTTTACTGCGGAACAGTATATTGCAGGAGGAAGACACAAAAAACAAGACAAGAACCTGACTGCTGTCAGCAACAGGCAAACAAGTTCAGTTTGAAGTAGAAGAAATGGGATGAAGATACAAGCGCACAAAGCTGAAAGTAGGCTACACCTACAAGACCTAGAGACTGATTTGCCACATGCCATTCACTGGTGCTGACTTCAGAAGCTGTCTGGGACAGGGAATTGCACCAACCCATGGGGTGAACTGCTGACACAGACCTGTAAAATGAAAATTGCCTTGAAAACTGAAAGCAAACTCTTAAGAAAAAAGATTTTGCCTCACATAGCAATATTGCAATGTACCAAAACATTCAAAGAGAGAAATGAAATAATCTCTTATTTTGAAGAACATGCCCACTATTTCCTTTTGTTCTGTGTGTCAAACAAAAAGAGCTTTGCCCAGCCCCAGTAGGAATCACTAAGATGACTATTTTGAGATTAAAAATAAACTAAAAGGAAAACAGATAAACTGGGTTAATACAGTTTCAGAAGTCAGTGTAGAGAGGAGACAGATCAGGCATCCAAGGAACAAGGACAGAGGTTCTTGTTCCAGAACAACTGGAAGATACAGGACTAGGACACATTGTGATGGAGGCTTCAACCAACTGATGACATTGATCAGAAGTGATGATGCTCTGAGGCACACCAGACATTTATCCACAGTATGGTAGCACACTGAGGGATGGATGTTCTGACTGCAAAGACAGATGTGTGACTTCGTACAAACATCCACCTTGATTGCCAGGCTTCCTCCCACAGGAACACATGCCCACAGAGCTCTACCGTGAGTTCTTCAGGTGAATGACACTTCACATCCAGCAGAAGCAGTACCAGGAGAAGCCTCAGAAGTGGCAGAGAGTAGGAGCAGCCCAGGGAAGCACACAGGAACCGCACATGCAGTAACGTGCAGCAAGCACATGTTCCCACTTACCTGGTGTGTGAGGGACTCACCCCCAGTACTGCCCACTGGCTGTAACTTACATTTCTAAAGATCTCTCCTTTTTCTGTCAAGGGTCCCCTAAGACCTTCTGCACAGTGTAATGCCTGCCAGACCTCATCAGAAGGCTGTCCCAGATTCTGCTGGAGATGGCAGCTGGCATTTTCCACAGGGACAGAGGCCAGGCTCATGTGGCACAATGAAGAGGGCTAGAACACTAATTAGTTATCTGGTATATGGCTCTCCTTAGTCTACCAGGATAACTTCTCAGTGTGACTTGTGAACTGATCACTCTTCCCAAGGCAGCAATGATTACACACTCACTGGAACTTAGGCCAAGGCAGCCTTCAAGCATTGTGAAAACTCTCTCTCATCCTGTGATGAACAGGAGCTGATTCTGTTGTCCTCCAAGGTCTTTACAGGAGCATTTTAACAACTACTAACTGAACTGAAAGACCTTTGTGTAGTTTAACTACTGACTTTACAAACCTAAGCTAGTAGATCCCTCAGCTAGAGCAGCTGAAGCCCAAAAGGCAAAGAGGATTTCTGCTTTTCTTAAAATTACAGTACAAGTAGTAATAATACTGAAAGCTCCTGACTTAAACCTCTGAGTCAAATAAACCAACTACTGCATTAAAATTCACATCCCAAAGTCATATAATGAAAAACTATTGTATAATGAGTAATGAACAGCTTCTGCCTTAAAGCATCCTACCCTCCAGGGCTCTGCCTCACGAGCCAGTTGTTTCCGCACTCCTAGCACACACTGGAGAGGCCTGGAGCAGGACTGAGTCAGACACTGAGGAACACCCACCTTCTTTGGTCTTTGTGCTAGCTGCTCCTGCATCCCTCTCCAAGGCTGGGGAAGCACCTTGCTCTTGTCCTATTCCTTCTGTGCTCTTATCCTTTGGTTTGCTCTCTGCTTCAGTTTTCTTTTTGGTAATGCTTATAACACTTGGTGTGAGAGATGGACGCTGGATGGGTGCTGGTTTAGAGACTGGAGTAGGAGATGGTGGCCTTTGTTTTGACACACCAGGTGAAGGTGGGCGAGTCTTCTGCCTGTTGAAATAGAGTATTTTTCAGAGCTAACAATGAAAACCTCAACCACGCACCTGAGGAAAGCAGTCTCCTTTGTTTAGTTTATATTACATACCTCCCTTTCAAAAATAAATCCACCCACAAATTACTGGTGCCTTCCCCATAAAACTCAAACCAGGATTCCAAGACACCTTGGGCACCCAGGCTTGCTACTTGGTGGTAACATCAGAACACAATTGCTAGCCCAGATCTCCATTTACTCCACATCTAGGATGAACCTCATGATTTCAACCCCAGAAACTTCCTACGCTAATACAGGCGGATCACTTTATTCAGAGGCTTGCAGGCTTTTGTTGGTTTTAGTGCACAGAAGATAAGGGTGTTTTGTCTGCACAACAAAGGTTGAAGCAAAAGCTGCATCCCTATTTTGGGAAAGGGAAATTGGACCCAAAATGAAGGTTTTTCTGTACAAACACAGCATAGCATAGGTCATCCCAACTCCAAAAGCTCAGCTGTCTTGAGACAGGAAGAAGCCTTCATTTTGTGCTGAATAAAAGGTGTTTACACACACCTGACTGCAGAAGAGGTCTAACCTGGACACATACCTGACTGCAGAAGGGGACGGAGGACGCTTCACCAAATTAGCAGGAGAGGGGGATCTTCTACGGGCAGACACGGATGGTGAGGGAGGGCGCCTCAAGCCAGAACCTGGGGATGGCTTTTCTGTCTCTGATTTCTAGAAGATACAAAAAACCAAAATACTGCTGACTCTCTAGAATACACTGCAGACAGAGGAGCTGCTATTTCAACAAACAAGCAAGTGGTCAACAAGACACACTTTGAATGTTCCAAAACATAGACCTGATCTTTGTTTAATTTTTACATAAATTAAAGCTTGAGAACCATAAGCAGCAAACAACATGCCTTCAAGATACAAGAGAGATCAAGTACCATAAAATTCCAATTTGATTTTCATACTCTGTATTTTTTAGGCAAATGCTACTGTAAATTTCATCAGTGCTTATTGAAAGCAGCAGCAAAGAGGGGAAACAGGATCCCATCCTGAGCTGTTCCAACCCCCCAGATTAAGAGAAACTTAATTCCTGTGAGTTTGCAACAAACCTGGGTTGAATCAGGTGAACTTGCATCAGATGAAGAGACAGAGGACTTCAACCTGTCGATGCTACGGCTGCGCACCGGCACTTTGGGAGCTGGGACTGGGGAATTGATGGAACTGGCTGAAGCTGAACGAGGACAGAGGTGAGATTCTATAAAAGTTAGGAATTTGACAAGACAAAACAAGAACCAAGTGCACAGCATAAGAACAGGAGAGAAGGAAGAGGGAGAAAAAGAGAAAGAGAGATTGTGTGTGTTAGAAACCATACAGGGAAACACCGCAGGCAGTGCACAGTGCAACGGCTCACGGACAGACACCACCACACAATTAGTACTGGGGAAGCAACAGCACCAAGAATAAACACCCTGAAAGCAGCAGTCTGGAGTAGATAAAAATAAAATGCTTTTCCAAAAATGGACCAAATTTGTAGCACACCAGAATTACTTTAATTTTAGTCAAGTTGCATTTGATCACAAATGCTTCGGTGATAGTGGCTTAGCATCTTTCCTGACAATTTTTTCATGAGAGGTTCAGATTTTAAGCATGTTTCCTTTATACTCAAGGAGGAAACCTCCCTTCTCTTAAAAGAAATCTATCAAGAGAAAAAACGGCATTTAGCTATAATATCTTTCCTACCTGAAGTGTCAATCTCTTCACATATAAAATATTGGAAAAATTTTATCTTTTTTTTTTTTTCTTACTAACATGATCACAGACAGATAAGCACACACAGATGCAAAAATACTCTAAAGCTAGATATTGGATTCTTCTATAATTCAAATAAATTGTGACAATTGCAGCACTTACTTTTGTAACTTTATGGAAAATACATTTTATTTTTGTATTTGCAGCATTTGTGCAAGGAGACCTGCATTCTGTTTGTGCACAGGTTGTGTTAAAGCACAGGTACTTTTCTACTGAATTGAAAAAAGTACCTCTAAATAAACTTATAAAAACATATCTTTAATTCAGCAACAGGGAGTGTCACGTGCTAACAGTAACAGAAAAAAAGATGGCATTTCCCCACACGACATGAACTGAAGTATTCATGGTAAAATAAAAGCAGCACATACAACAGGTGTGTAAAAATATGACTACTGACTACAAACCAAAAAATAAATACTGATTATTAGACAAGGGGAACAGTGTGGAAATGTCACTGTTACTGACAAGGACCAAGTGAAATGGTGTAAGATAAAAAATAAAGATGTGATTTCATACTAAAGAAGAAACAAGCAAAATTGGGAACACAAGTTGTAAGGTAAAAGAAGAGAAAAGATTCCACATTGTTTCCAGAGATGCATTTACTGGGGGCATTATTAATTAACCAGTAACAATTCCAGGACATGTGGGTTGCAGCTAGGGGGGCTAATTCCTGCAAATTCCTGCTCTAGTAAACTGAGTAACTGGTGTGGACATATCAGGTCAGTCTGGACCACCACAAAACTGCTTGAGTCAGCCAGGGTTTCTCTCTTCTGTTATACCATGACTTCTGTGATCAGCTGGATGAAGCCAGCTCAGGGCTCCCTGTACTTATCTCCAGGTAACCCTATTGTCATGTTCCTCCAAGTGTTTCTTCCCCTAAAGAAATTTAACTTTTGCACTTTGAAATTACAGGTTTGATTGGGTTTTTTTTTCCTTTCATAACCTAGTACTGCTCTAACCAGAATGTCTCAGATTGAGTTGAGGGTATAAATGCAGATCTGTCAGCTAAAAAAACCACACACAAAATCCCCAGAATGAACACCAGCATCTGGTTCTCTGCAGAGCAAGTAAACCAGCACTGGAGTTTAAAAGCCAATATTATTATATGGTTTTGTAAATAAACATGCAACATAGCATATGAATTGGGTATTAATGACCACAGAAAATACTGGGTAAGTAATATTACACACAACCACATACTAACTGTCTGATTCAGACAGAAGTGTAGCACAGTTAGCAGCTACCATCTAAGTTCTGTGTAAGACTTTGAGGCTTTGCTGCCCTCCTGTTACCTGAGGGGTCCTGTCCATCAGCCGACAAGGTAGCAGCACTTTTACTCCTAGCTAGGGAGGCCTGTGTGGGGGCGAGGAGGCGGCTGATTACGCTACTGTCCAAGGGACTGAGCTGGGAGCGACGAGCTGGATGACAGGAACAAACCAAAAAGGATCCAACATGAAATCATATCATGGAAAAGACAAGCAGTACAAAGCAAAGGAAGATCGAGCATTGTTGCAAATCGAAACGGTTTTGGAAGAACAATACTGAAGTCACGGAGGGGGAATTCCAAACTAAAAGCACAGAAGGGTTAAACACTGCAATCTCTTATGTTGCACTTCTTGCTCTTGCCTTGCTTAGTACAAGTCATTTTAATGTGCAGAGACTGGCACGTGTACAACAGAGGTGAATGCTGAATCCAGTCAAAGTATGAGACGTTTTTGACTGAGCTCTTTAGAGCCACATTCTCTAGATTGCAGGAAAAGCTGTTTTGACATAATAAACAGAAGGCTTGCAAGTCAAAGCCAGCAGTTATGGTCAAGCATCGCCTGCACACACAGATTCGCATGGACAGCACCCAACATTCTCTCAGACAGGAAAGACTCTGAAGCAGAAATAATTTCAACTGCTGGCAACAGCTGCTAAAAAGGAAAGTTTCAGAATTGTTAACTCAGAGAGAAAACCACGTTAGACAAGGTGCTATTCCCTCAGGTTTAGCACGAGTTCCCAGGAAAGAGGTTATTTGTAACCTAGTGGGGAATACACAGACCAAAAGAGACTGAAGTGAGAACAGGTTTCTTCCTTCTGCATGCACATGGCTTACTCCAGCAGCAGGAACAGAGAAGTTGCTTTTAGACTGAATAATGAAACAGAACTTAAAAAAGCAAAGGTAAGATTTAACTAAGAAGTGAACAGACCAGTGACATTTTTACAATTTCTGACCCTTCAGTCTACCAGCTCTCAAATAGATTGCTCTCTTAAGCAGACACATGTTGCTATCTGCTTGCAGTGCCATTTAGTAAAGACAAAGGCCTTCTTAGAGGATTTTTTTTCTGTCCAGAAGTAAAAATTTAATTTAACTTTTACTATTTTATCTTGAACACTGGGTAACTAAAAGGCCATTAAAAAGTCCTAGAAATTTAAGAACCTAGGAAAGTAGTGAAGTCAAGCCTATCCAAACTTTAAAGGCTTTAAAAAAAATATTCAGTTTTATGTAACAACCACCTGGTTTTTCTTCCTTTTTCACTTTTTCTAGCTCTGGAGAAGACTGGGGTTTACTACTCATTCTACTCAAAGATGTGCTCCTCTTCTTTTCTGTTCCTCCTAGAGACCAAGCGTAAGGAAGATTATTTTTAACAAGATATGATTTTCTATATTGCCATCCCATGCTTTGCTTTTACTAATCAGCTAAAACCAACAATGTATCATTATGAAGCCCTATTTTCTCATGAGTTAAATGGTTTGTAAACCATTTGTCTACTTTCCCCCCACCCTTCCTCTTTTCAGAGAAATAAAGCTGGTTTAGAGACAGTTACCCAAAATCTGGCACTGCAATGTGCATAATGATATTTATGCCACAAGTTCACAGACTGCATAAATGCCTGAGTGAAAACATTTATAAAGGAACTGGGACATGGTTTAAAGTCATCTTTGAATATCCCATTTACTGCCTCCCAATTCTCAAAACAAACTGGTTTCTAGCACCTTTCTGTTCCACCTGTGAACCTTTGGGTGCTGACTGCTGGGAATGTGGAGGGACTTTGTTACTCAGTCTGTTTAATGAGGCACTTCTCTTTGTGGTACCTGGAAGTGAAAGCGCATGGATTAATTATGCTGAAAAGCCCAGAGGTCCCCTCCAACACCTGCCCCACTTCCCTAAGAGAGAGAAGTTAATGATTAAGTTGCTTTATAATATTGAATTCTTCAGAAGCAGAAAAACTGGATCAGTGAAGAACCACTTTATGTAAAGCATTATTTCTTTTATTTCTACATTTTTCTCATAGCACCAGTAGGATGTCAGCCACAACAGATTCTTGTTTGACCTACTGAGGCCATCCTTGTACACCTTTAAAATACACAAGAATTTTAAAAGACAATTGCTCACATTCTCTATGAGTATGAGTGAGCCCAGAAGTAACACAGAACACAGTGGTAAGTGGAGATACTCCACTGATCCAGGACAAGCATAATTTTCTCATTTCCACATTCTGCTCCTTCACCCTCCCTGGCACACAAGCACAAGAGAAGCAATCTGGTTCATTCTGGGGCTGTATTTAATGTCCTGTGAATCTCCCCATCAGTTCTCCCTGAGCGTCAGATTGAGAGCACAGGATCACTCTAAGTCACCCTCTACACCCTGACCACATAGATCACTTGGAGTCCTGTCCAAATTTGTTGTATTTCAGGCCAACTGAGAATATTTTCTCCGAAGTGACTAAGGATTCGCAAAGGATTTCAGGGTATGACAGTAAGTTTGAAAGCAATCCCAATTAGTTGATAATTAGTGACTTCCTTTGTAAGAGGTTTAATTTGTACTTTACAGCCCTGCTTCTGACTCATATCCAGAGCTGAACCCTGCAGACACATAATATATAAATATAATTTAAAATCACAAGCAGCCTCCAGTGACTCAGAGCCCCTGCCAGTATAAATATAGTCACTGATTTCCCCACCAGGCACACAGGGGATGAGCACAAATTTTTCTGCTGCATCACCTTCCAACACGAACCAGCAAAACCACCTTTAGCTGTGTCTGTCAGGGATTCTTTTAGCTCAGTTTGCTTGATCTGCAGATTGGCAGAACACTGCAGCACAGACCTAGCTGAATTTGTATTAAACAGCTTTTAGCTTATTCATCATTTTAAACAAACAAAAAAGCAAAAGCAAAATCCTCCATATCTGTGATACAGGCAGGACCATATGAAACTCTGGGAAGACTCCAAATAACAAAATCTCATGCTAAAACAAGCAAAAATATGTGCTCCTCCAAATAGTTTTTATTTATCTTAACAAGTATATTAGGACAATTCCTTGTCAAAATTGATTTTTTTCCTTCCTATTGATAATCAAATGACAAAAGCTGTCTAACAGAACAAGGCAAACCTCATTTTCATACTGTGTCTATTTTGCTGAAATTTTAGGGTGTGAATTAAGGCATGCAAATCCACAGAGATGATGGGAAATGATTTCTGAATCATTCACCAAGATTTGACTTTAGTAACAGAATTAGAGAAATAAAAAATAAAAAAAACCAGCATTTTTTACCATTGCTCTTCTCCTCTAATAGAGATCACACCAACTGGGTCAAAGCCCTGAACAGTGAAGCTGGATTAACAAATTGCATGAAATGCATCTGAGATCAAAATACGAAGTGAGTCACAGAGCAGGGGAGGAGGGAGGAGTTTTCATTCCACCTCCTGTCTCCTCCCCAGGCACAGCTGAGCGGTGCCCTGCTCCCAGCAGCCACACACCCCCACTTACTTCGATCTGAGGCATTTAAAGGAGCTGCAGACGGGGACAGGCCTTTGCTCACGGCAGCCTCTGCCTGTTTGAGGTTGGCTGCGGAGGGCGAGCGTTTGCTGGCTGTGGAGAGAAGTGATGACTTTAGAACTTGCCCTCATACTGAGCCTTTCACACCTTGCTGAGAGCTCACTCTCCAAGTATTACATCCTGAAAGCTATTTCTGCTTTTGTTTGATGACAAACACAAAATTTTGTTTTCCTTTGAACAGGCTTGATACCATTAGCACCAGCTGGGACAGGCACAGAAAAGGTAGAGTTTAGTGGAGTCATGCCAGGATTTATGCATATGTGTGCAAAAAAGGGATTTTTAAACCCCATGCCCCTAACATGTAAAGACAAAAGTTACTGAGGCTGTCTGCTGTTATCAGACTGGCAAGACACAGAAAATAACAACAAAATCTGGAAAATTTCTTTCTTCATTCCTGCCACATAAGTATGTCAAAACAGTTTTTTAATCACTAGTTAATAAATCCAAACCAAAACAAATTATTTTGGAGGAATAAAACCAACTCCTAAGGAAAGGCAAGAAAGCATTCCTATTTCTGATTGCTTCAGAAAGGTTGCTGTATTTTAGAAATTGCCAATTTTTCTCTAAAAGCTACTCTTCAGTTAATGTTTCCTATCAAATCTGCAATTTTTCAGAAAAAAAAAAAACCTGACACAAGAGGCATTAATATTTTTTGGTATGTGTATACAGCTACATATACACGCATAAAAATCACATCTCATATGGCAGAACTGCAAGTTTATTACAAGGCAGATAAATACCTGCTTTTTAATTTCAAATAATGTACTTTCAGGATGAACACTACTCCAGAGTGTGAAAGCCTTTGAAAAACATGTACCTGTTGCTACAGAAACTCAGTAAGCAGAAAACATTAATGTACACAGAGTGGTGCAGACCAGCACAACAAACACACAAAATTTTAAACATCTAATACAAGTAATCGATTTCACTGACACACTGCACAGCAAAGATGATTAATCTGAACTCATTAGTGCATAAATACCAAAGGACACAGCAGCACTACTCACCACAGAGACAACATCTTTTCCCTTTGCCAGCATGCTACAACAGCCCCTTACAGCCAGAGCCAGGACATAAAGATTCCTATGGACAGCCCCATGGGAAGCTCTTGGAACAGTGAACAAAGTCCCCATGGGATAAGAGGGAGATCTACTGAATCTAGTTTAGAAATTAAGCTCTGAGCTTAGTGGATGCTTTCCCAACATAACAAAAGGAAGAAGGAAAAAAAAAAAGGGCACTTTATGAATGGAGTCTGAGAACTGGGATAACTAAACAGCCTTAAGAGGTTTTATATACGAAAATCAGGAAGCTCATAATTCATGTATTTGGGTGCTTTTGAAGGGGAAGGCTACCCTCTAGCGTCTGCTCTTTAAAGGAAATCCTGGCTCCTGCCTGAACTCAGCTGAGTCCAAGGCCTCCAAACATCACAGAGACACTTCACATAAATTTCTCTTGGTTCAATTTAGCACTCCAGCACTTGTATGAAATCTGAGATTTCGTCTATCACCTACTGGGACCCAGGTACAGAGGTAAATGCTTTTTCAATCAATACACTTGCATGACCAGATGGCCCCAACTTCTTTCCTACCTCATTCACAGAACAAATTCTGCAAACTTTAAAGTTCCTTTCTCTAGGAAAAAAAAGCTTTAGAAGACAGGCAGGATATTCCTGCCTCCATCAAGGGATTTGAATTGGAAGAAGTACACAGCCCACGTGACACCAACTTCTCTATTTTTCTAATGGAAGGGGGGAAACAAACTGCAGCAGCAGAGCTGAAGAAAGCACATGTCTGCCATGCAGCAGGACTTGGAACTGGGCAAGGAGCTGGGAAATATGGGATCTTAAGAAAATCACTCAGAGTGAGGAGCTTTCAATCCTCGCAGGGTTTCACTGAGAGAGGGTGCTGCAGCATTGCCTGAGGCTGGATAACATTAAGCTACATGAAATAAGATCAGCTGTCTCTCACTTCCTTCCAAATTTCTACTAGGACAAGGAAGCTCTTTATTTAGCAAGGAGAGGCTCTGGCAGCCCCATTTCTGTTCTAATAGCACATCTCCAGTCCTGATGCACCTGAACCTCTAGTTCTGCTCAGCAGGCACCACTAAAACACCCCCTTTAGCAGGACTGTCATCAAGGATGCTTTACTGCACAGCCTGGCCACTTCTCTTGGCAGACCCACACCCTGCCTGCTTCATCTCAGCACTGACAGCAATGCCATTAATGTAACACTTGACTCTGGGGCTTTCATCCATTTTTACATTTCTCCATCAGCGGGATCCCTGCTGTGGTCTCATGAATCACACTCAACATCCCTCAGAACCGCTGATGGCTGGGAAAATGTTCCATTACATGGGCTTCACTTTCCAGAGCACACTATCACCCAAACCCTCTGCTCTGCCACTCAGTGTTCCTAACTATTATTGTTGACACACCCAGTTCATGGAAGACATATCTGATTCTGCATTTTTTTTTGCACAGCACTACAATAGACAAGAATGCCTTTTGTCCTAAAATATTTAAAGAATATTTGAAATCAGTTCCCCAAATGGTTCTCATTTCAAGAAACAGGGCTTTAATCCCAAATCTGCCACAGAATTTGACAGTGGAAATATAGTATTGCATTGAAATTTGCTCCAGACATGCAGTTAGAGAAGATGCACTATTCAGCCACAATGATGTAATGGACCAGAGCTCATCTTGTGTCATTTTTCAGAGTAAAAAAAAAAAAGGTAATTGTTGTCTTTCCAGAAAATATGCAAATATAAAGCACAATGGACCATATAAGGATTTTTTAGAAAGCCAGCCAGACTTAAGTATCCCACATGGCTTAAGTAGATTTTTAATAACAATTAAGTAATGAGTTCTCAAAGTTAAAAAGAACTACCCTGAAATAGGAATAAATATGAGAAACGCAAAATCAGTCATGGTTCCACATTATCCATCTCACACATCACAGCTTCATGTTTGAAACATTAACATAAAATCAAACACAATTTTAAAACACTGTGGGTGCACAAGGGTTTGACTAGGACATTGCATTACCTGTTTATCTCCACAGCAATTTTTTTCCAGCAATTTTTTTTCCAGACTGGTGCCAAGTTATCCAAATTGATCTACTGCTGCTGAACTATCTGCATAGTTACTTTATGATGCATAAATCACAGTTTAAGCACTTATTATGATATCAGGAGTATTTGTGTTGGAATATATTTTATCTTAAATGTGCTTCAGCAGCACTGAAGATCTTCCTCCACAATGGAAAGGACAGACAAGGCTCATTCCCTCACATAAATCAGGAGAGAGCAAAGAACATTATTTTGTGTTTGTTAGTAAAATAAAACCCAGTGCTTTCTTAAACATGTAAGGCAAATGTGATTTCCCAGTTTCAAGGTTAAATGATATTTGGTAGTGTGAGATACCGTGAATGGATTTATATATGCATCCAAGGCACACAGGTACAGCAGATAAACCAACCCAGCCAAACTGGCTGATTTTGGAGAAAATTAGGGGCTCATGATGTGCAGGGCAAAGGAAGAGAAAAGTTAACTAAAATACACGTGGTTCTGCTGTGTTGCCAGAGTAGTTAAACCATACTCAGCCAGACCTTCACAGCATTTTCAAGTCTCCCTTGTCTGTGTCACAGACAGCTGCACTGCATTAGTAACGTTGTGGGCACGCACAGTGAGGATTCAGATTCAGCTGGGTCTCAGCTGAGAGTTTTCACCTCAATCTAGCTGCAAGAAATAATTCTGCTTATTAAACGTATGTATCAGTGATCCAAAGCACTTCTATGAATGGCTCAGTCTGTGCACTGGAAAGTGCCAGAAATCCAATGAAAACACATTTCATGTATAGAATGATCTTTAGGTAATTGGGACAGCTCTGATTTTGCAATACCCTCCATGCAAAAAGTATCAAACTGCTCAAGAGACCCACTCCCTTTCACAAAGTTTCAGTAAAATATAATTTGATTTTGCAAATGTTACTTCAACTGCTGGTAAACCAAAGCAAGGAAACAAACCAAGACCTACCATGTACTTTTTGCAAAGTAATGAAACAGTCTGAAACTGCCCTTAAACCCTCCAAACCTTACACCACTGAACTAATTGATGTTCAAATACTTGCCCATAGAAATTTCTCTTCTCCCTGTGCTGTATCCAGACCGCTTTAAAAACCCAAATGCAGATAGCCTTTCCCTGAAAATTCCCTCAGCATGCCATGACTTAAGCTGTAGTTGAATTAGCTGGGAGGGAGGGATAGCCAAAATGAGGGGGGCTGCTTTCTACTTAGGGATCACATTTGTTGCACAGCTGGCCAAGATCCAGGAAAAGATCTATAAGAAGATGGTTTTCCTTAGTGTGAGAGGAACTCAAGCTTAAAAGGTTAGTAGTGAGTGTAAAAGAACAGAAAAATAAAATTTTAGAAATCTATACCACCAGTTCCACCTTCATCAGTGCTCTGTTGTTCTGTAGAAGAAGAAGGTTTGTAAGCTAAGTCATGAGGTCAAACAGCAAAAAAATCCAAGTTAACAAAAAAATGGGGATGCTGCATATCATAATGACAACTAATATCAAAGCACTTTCAAACATGTTACAAACACACATTCAAGCTGACAGAAAATGACAGTACCACACTCAGTACAATTCCACCAACATAGAGGATAGGCTGAACTGAAGCATTTTTTGATTTATTTTATTCCTGGCCAATAATTTATTTATTGGTGGTTAGATAGTATATGAAAAGATCCCTTCCACTGCAATCTTTACTTGTTGGTCTGATTTCAGAATGTTTACAAGCAGAAACAGTTAATTGTGAAATAGGAAATTATCTGAGTTCAAATTAAAGACTGTTAAAATGCATCACCTAATCCAGAACAGAACCCATGTTCCAAGAAGCCTGGACTGTCCACTGCATTTCCTTACCCACTAGTAGGCATCCAAATAATCAGCATTCCATAACTCCACGGGTGTGTTTAAAACATTTTACATGTGATATTAGAGTACACCTGGATACTTTTGGTTTCATCACCAGTCTTAGCATCCATTACATGAACTGCATTTGAAGGACTCTGAATTATCTTAATATTACAGAACATGATTCCCCTTAGCTAAGGTTTAAGGGCTGGCAGTGCTGTCACGTGTTGTATTTCCCATGGAGCTTCCCTCCAGCTCTTCCCAAGGTCAAAAATAGCTCTAAGTCTGAGCAGCATTTCAGGACAAGTACAGATATGACACTTTCCCAGGAGCTACCCACAGATCCTGCTTTAAGATCCCAGACAGGAAAGGATGCCCAGGTCCCTATGAATAGTGCTGCATCTGCCAGTGCTCACACAGAATATTCTGTGATTTCAGTCCTACTAAAACCAGTGCTGCTTACCTGTTTTGCCTTCTGAGTCTGGAGTTACAGACCCCCCCCATGACCATCTCTTCTGTCGTGTTTCCAGCCGCTGACTCCGTTCCAGGGTGCGATGCAGAACTGCTTCATAGCGCTCCTACCAAACAACATCTCCATGAAGCTTTAACTCTTAACCACAGCCATGCCAGGGAACAAAATATAGACACTGCCCCCCGCAGTATGATTTATAATCTGTTTTACCAGGCTTTTGTTACAAAAATTATCATGCAAAGAATGTTAGAGGCAATTAATGGCTTCAAAACACTGCAAACATGATTAGGTCGAGCTAAAGCACAGATAATCTATTCTACTCTTTACTTAAAATAGCCACCAAACAGATTTCCTATTCAGTAAACAGCACTACTTATTTTCTAAATAGGGATGAACCCCAAACTGAGCAAAAGTAATTGGTTACCCTTGAAGTTATTTATATAATGAAGTTATTTCTAAAAGGTGATAAAAATTCTCCATTATAAAATACCAAGTGTAAAGTTATTTGTATTTTCAAAGAACTGTAAAGGTCTTAACAGACACTGACATTATGAGAGATATGATGAAACTAGGAACAGCAAGACAATGGAAAAACTACAAAAGAAGACCAATCAACTTCAGGCCTCAGCAACCATTGCTGACAGGACAAAGGGGGCTGAAAGAAGCTTCTGCTGCTTTCTCCAGAACTAGTAACTGCCAGCAGGGGAGCTTTAGCTCTTGTGCATAAAGATGGACCATGCTAGACTCTTTCTTGCCAGCCAGGTTTCCACACGTGTCAACAACACATTTCTCTTCTGGAACAATTATATCCCAAGTGATCTTTTGAAGCAGTATTTTCTGCAAATACACTGCAGTAAGATATCAAGGGAGCTCATTATACAGTCATTTCTGCCACTTGGGGACACAAGACTTTCACTTCTTTCAACACCATTTCACAACACAACACAAACTAAAAAAGTCACCAAAACACACAATGTAAACCTGGACGGAAGGGAGGATTTTGCTCACTGTCAAAATATCAAACTAGAAGTTTTTGTTTGAAATATAAAGCTTAGTTTCCCCTCTGTTAGAAAACCTGAACTAGAGTTTACCTAAGGTGCCAAAGTACCCAGACATTATCTAATCTCTGGATTGTATTTCCATGGTGGTATCTGCAGTGCAGCAATTCTTCAGTAAGATTAAAGACATAGACTACACTTTACAAATGAGAGAAATGAGCTCAAGACCTCAATATAGTGAGCCCAGAGATACGCAGAATAACTGAGGAGCAGTGGGGAGACAGGTATGTGAATCCTCACCACAGCTAGTGCTCTTCAAGATTTTTAGAACCACTCCCTTTTCCACAGTATTTGTTACTGTGCTACTGCTCCTACCTTATTAGAAGATTAACAAAATGAGACCTGGCTGAAAAAGTTAACAATAATGTTGGGGACTATGTATTTTGATGCACTTCTATCTACCAAATATACAGCTGTAGATGGTATCTTGCTGGTATCTTTTCCTTGTGTCAGAGTACCAAAGTCAAGAGCTGTTTTCACTTTTTGATTGAAGGAAGGTTTTATAGGTCAAATCCAAACTATCTTCCCACCTTCCAGATTCTGCATGTATAACCTATGTAGAAGGTCATCTCCAGGGACTGAGTAAAAGACAAGATAAACACCTCATTGCTAGTCCTTGTTTTCCTTGATTATTCACTCTGGTGGCCACTTAAAACTTATCTACTATCCTCAAAACTACATGAATTAATGTAATAAATGTAACTGTAACGTTTTGAAGCATAAGGAATGCTTTTGTATAAAGTAGTTGCTTAAAGAAATGACACTACACCGGACTGCAGTCACAGCCTGCCCAAATGTTTCTGTTCTACATCCGTGTAAACTATTCCATGAAGGTCAAATGGCATATCAAAAAAATCATATCAAAAGGATGGAATAACTTCATGTATTTATTTCTGCTGTCAGCTTCTATCCATTGAGTGAGTCCCAAACTCAAACACTGCTCTGCCTGTCCATGTGCAGTCAGAGCAAAGGCCAGTGAGAACAGACACCACACGGTTCAAAGCAGCAAATGACAAATACACAGATAACATCACCACCTTTCATCATACAGGAATGAATTCTGGTTTAGAAGAATTAAGAGAATGTGAGTCTCAGGCCACAGCAGGGCTCCAAGGAAGCAAGACATAGAAATAAGAGAAGTAAGTCTAAGACTTACTGATTTACAGACAGACTCTACAAGGTGCTCTGAAGGCATATAGAAATCTAGCAATATGGGGTGGGGGTTTTGCTCACATAAAAAATAGCCAGTGGTCTAACAGCCACAGCTCCTGAAATCCTGAGTGCCTCAGCTACAACCAAAGCTCTATGAGGAAGGTGGACATATGCCTACATAGCCCACTGTAGATGTGGAAAATACTTTTATGTTCTAACATGTTCATAATTTCCCTGAGTTTCTCATTCACAGCACTTCCGAGCATGGCAATGTAGGAAAACAATGTAGTTCTTTTAAACTATAGAACTTCGACGTGTGTTACCTTTTCCTCCTCTATTTTTTGTTTCCTCTTCTCTTCTACTGCTGCCCTTCGTTGTTCCTCTTTTTGCTTCATTTCTTTTAGCTTTCTCTGCCTTTCTTCTAACTGTTTTTCATACTGGAGTTTTGCTTTTCTCTCCTTTTCAAGGATTTGTGTCTCTTTGGCAGCTGTAAGAATATTTTAAAGAAAAAATTAAAATCAAACTTAGCCATTCGTTGATATTGCAATGCAACTTATAAGCAAGAGACTATCCAAGCAGAATTCTTACCACCTGAAGTGAAAATGTACAGGAAGATGAGCTTGCAGAGGTGACAACAGACAACAGACTCATCTTTAATTTTTATCTGTCCCCAGGCTGAAAGTGAAATTAGAACTTTGCCTGCTACTAGGCTTTACTGTCTAGACAGGAATATCAGGATATGTATATTCCCTAAATTAAGCATACACTTTTCTTATCAACATAATAGTGATGTCTCTGTAAGGAAGCTGTAAATTAAAAATCAAACAGTAGAATTTTCTATGTTGTAGCTTTTTTTTTTTTTAGAACAAAATACAGTAATATTTAAGGCACTGAGTGACAAGATGGGAAGACCCTACAGTTCCTGCATCAGAGTTCAAAATAGTTATATCACCATTCTCTGCAGCCTCCACCAAGGAACAGCTGTGTGCAGTTCAACAGGAAGCCTCAGGTCCTGTGACACAAAGCTAGAATGCACAGAGTATTTTCCATGGCCAGACAGATGAAATGAACCAAGAGACCAGATAATCACACCAACAATGCACAGGCAGCATCTACACATAGGGCCTCCAAAATATTTCTGAATTTTATATGCATCATAATTCTACCCTGTTGCCGTATTAGAATAACACAATAATTCCTGTTGTTGTGGGTCTTTGCTTTTATGTTGAGAAACAAACATACAGCTCGGAGAGACATCTCCTCACAAGCTGGGAGCCCAAGACCTGCCACTGCAGGGCACACTGTGACCCTTTCATCTCCTGCTACACACACATGCACTGATTCACATCACACAGAGCATAAAGCTGGGCAAGAGTTTTCTGCTGCTATCTAGTTCAGATTCCCTGCGAAGATAAAGTTTGTACTGCTGACACTTCAATACAGGAGTCATTTCCGTGTGCTGGGAAACAAGGGAAGCAGTGTTCAAGGCAAACAAGCCATTCTACTAGCTAAATCTTTTTTGGTTTTCTCTGAATCAGCATTCTCCAAACATCAGTCTTCAGGGCTATAGGAAGGACTTCTAAGCTAAAAGTTTTATTTTCCAAAGTGCTTTTGTGAAAGCTTTCAATAAGGAATTAGCTAAATTTGCTGGGTGGTCACTAAAAAATGGAAGGTCAGAAGTGGCACAGAGCTTCAACAAGCTAAAACTCTCTACAGTGTTCTCCTCTCAAATCAAAAACTTCTTCATTCAGGTTCAGAGGTGGACACTGATGCAAGACCAAGAGCAGACCTTGTCTCTTGTCCCCAGCAAGCTGACACAAAGTGACAAAACATGGAATAAGGGGGACAGTAATTCCTTTGAGAGAAACATTCTAGAAAATTATATTTTAAGTGAAACATGAAAATACCATGCTGCTTTTCCCGCTCTTCTCTACGTTCCCTGGCCAGTCTTTGCCTTTCTTCTGTTCTTAGCATGGAACCATCTATCACTGTCAAAATAAAAATTGAAGACACATAATTGTCAATGACTTTGAACATTCAAATTGAAATAAAATGTCAAAAGTCTTTACTATCAAAAGAAGAATTAAAACTTCCTGAGAGATGCACACACCACCAAATCACTGCACACTCTACATAGAGATTAAAGACACCATCTGAAAAATTCATAGAAAGCTGAACATCCTCCTCTTCTCCTTTTCCATTCCCTCACAACACTATTTTTAACAGGTGCAAGAGAAAGCAGACATCATATTAAAGGCTCAATAGGTACAGTCAAAGGAAAGCCTAAGAAGCCGGACGTGTGAGAACATACTCTATCCCAAATCCAGCCCTGATCCTCATTCTTGTACATATTAACTCCCATGAACAAGAATGACAGGAGTTTAGGAAAATGTCATCTAGGAACAGATAGTTCACCTGTCATTACAAATTCAGAGCACTGTAGGACAGCTCATTTGCAGACTAAGCAGAACCAAGACTTAAGCAGTCTTTGCAGGTATAAAAACTTGAATTTCAGCACGAAGTGAGCTGGTAACTTGCCCAGTTACCATCATTTATCTTTGCTGTCATGCCCTGCTTACAAGACAGGCAGCTCCAACTGAACTCTGAGCCAGTCAAAAACAGAAATCTGTCATCAAAACCAGACCTACAAACCATCTACCAGGTGCTCTGATCCTCCTGAAGAAAGAGCACCAAACTTTTCTCTACATAAGTTCTTTTCAATCCCTACTAACCCCTCCTTGTGAGCCCAGCACTTCATTAAGAGCAATGACCTGTAATTATACCTGGTTTAGTTGCTGTCTTTATTGAGGTCTGGACTGCAAGAGGGCTAATGCCACTTTGGCTTCTTCTTTCTTCTGCTATGGCTTGGGCTGCAGCAACTGTGAGAAAGAATCACTTCACATTAAGAAAAGCTCTACAACTGAAACTCATGAAATAAATACCCAAAATAAATACATAAAATTCCACTTGAGGTCACTGATGCTTTTATTAAATAACTAACTGCGGGCTGCTCAGCTTGTAAGGAAAAACTTATCAAATGAGACTTGAGACCTGGCACAGCTTCTTGTTATAAAAACATTTATCAAACCTTATGTTTTAAGACTACAGAGTTTCAAAGATTAAACTTATTTAATAACTCTTCTAAAACAAACTCCATTATTCTGCAAAGTTATATGTGACTTACACTTAGTAACAGAAACTCTTTGCTACCACATGAGCATTTGTGGGCTGCACACATGTATGTAATAGCCCATTAGCACTGCAAGAATCATATTCTGATGAGACCCAAGCAGGGAGAGGTCTATGAAGACCTGTCATTACTTCATGACATTAAAGAGAAAGGGGATTAGCTGCATAAAGTAAACCATTGAGGGATGCTTACAACATACTTCTGAAACTGGATCTTCAAAAATAAATTTTAATTATAAATTAAGATTCCAAAACAGTAAATTGAGCATTTGTGCAGAGACCCATTCACCTTATCTGAGTTTCACCAAGGTGACTTCAGCAAAATGCAGGGCTACAACTCACAGATAATCACACAGAAAGGAAATGCTACCAGTATTAATTTTGCTAAATAACAAAACCCATTAACAAGTCAGGGAGACTAACTTACTGTATCACTCTCCCCAGATTTTCTTTGTTTTGGTATGAACCTTCACAAATCACCTTACAGGGTGTGAAGAGTTACAGGGAAGGCAGGCAGGGCAGCCTGTAAGACAGCATTACTGCACAGCTCCAACAGAAGTGTCCTCACACACTGCCACCCCACTCTCACCCTGCCTGACAGACACTGGGAGCTCAGCTGGCTTCCATGGAAAAGCCCAACTTCAGGGGAAGCAAGGGAACACAACCCAGAGCACATGAGAATGTTGAGGCCAGTTTTACAGAGAAAAGGCAAATCCACAAAAGGAACACGTAATGTGCTGTGATCTCACCCAGAACATGAAGGACCAATAGTACAAATTGCTGTTATATTTTAAGAAAGGAGACTACAACTTTGCCAGTGATCTGACTTCCTTTTAATAAGAGGAGTGCAGAATGCAAAAGAGGAAGGAAGAGTCTCCCTCTTCTCCATGCATTGCCATGACAACTAGTTGTGTCATGGTAATAACCCTCCCTAAGGCTGTGCCCAAGAACAATCACCTCAAAGTGTTTAATCCCATGTGATTTCAGTGATAAATGCTGATTACAATACTTATTCAGCAACTCTAAATTGTCACCCGCAGCTGTTGCCATGTCTTGAATTAATTTTTCAATGCAGCAGCAAACAAAAGTCTTCCTCAACCCCATCCTATACATCTCGGAGGCTCTTTTCACACAAGTCAGAGACCAGATATACTACAACACAATGAGATTACCAACTGGCAAAAAATAGCTTAAAAAAGGCTCACTGTTTTTTCACTCTCTAGATCAGACTAGTCAGACAAAATTCTGATTTTTGTACACTGTTGCATGTCACATGGATGGGAATCCAGCCCAAAAAAACACCAAGTGGAGAACAACAGAATTATCTATTCTAACACAAATAGAAGTGAAAACAGCCAGAGGAAAAGCAGCCCACTGCAGGTGTTCTGAGAGCAGAAATGTACAAGCAGGGCATGCATATCCAATGACACCTCTGTACATCACAAAGGCTGAAGGAACATAAGCTTCTTCAAATACCACTTAGATTTCAGACAAATACAGAAATCCAGGTACATCTTTCCTCAAGGGAGGAGACAGAGGTGCTCAGGAAGCTTGAGCCAACTTAACCCAGGCAGGAAATTATCCCAACAAAACAAAGTCACTCTGTACCTAAACCAGCTTCAGTTAAGACCAACACTGGAATTTTGCCTCAACTCTCTAAGTTTAAATATCCAAATTTCCATAACAAAGTTATAGTAAGAAGCAACCTGCAATTAAACAGGTACAAAATTTTGTTTTACTTGCAAAAGTATTTTACTATTAGAAATCTTGCTGAACAAAGCAGCCATAATGGATATGGGGGATTTTGTATTTATTTACTCAATCAAAAATAAATGTAGAGCTGGAATAATGTTCATTATTAGAAGGCACTGATTTAAAAATGCATTACATCTGCAAAGCAATTAGTCAGTTTATTTTAATTAATTAAGGTTGCAAAAGATTACTTGAGATTCTATAAGACAGGAAAGTGGGTTACAAAAACAGTTCAGCTTACAGAGGACACAGAGGTGAAAAAACTCTAGAAATACCCAGGCAGAGGACTCTGCACATCAAGGTTTTTTGTATGTCAGATAAAATATTTTATGTTCACTCCTTCAGTGCTTCATTATTTGCACAGCAACAATGTGCTTACACATTTGAAAGCAGCAGGTTTAATGCACAAGGGGTGCACCTCCACGTCACGTGGATGTGATCCATTTAACCAACAGAAAGCCAGAATCAAATCTGAACTGGGGATCTGAACAGAAGAGTAATAAAAGGGGAACAGACATCACATTAGATACATCCCTGAGATACGTGAGCTCAATTTCACCAAGTTCCTAGTCAACAGACAGGTTTTATGGCCCTTGACAATTTCATGGGAAATTTACAATACAAAACTGTGATTTTCAAAGTCCACACTTTACTACAGTAAAGCAAAATGCATTGCATATTGTTGTACTATGCAATCTTTAAGAAATACCTATCTTATTTTGCTTTGATATGATAAAATAAACCTTAATAATTAATATATTTTAATCTTTTTTGGCACAGATACCTATAATTTCTCTGCCTAGTTTTCCATAATGAATGTAGCAGTCTGCTATGGAGTGAAGCTTCATGGAAAAGAATTTTCCACAAAATATATCTCTGCAAAATGCAGAGCCTAATACCTCTGTAATGAATCAGGATACCCCAGAAGAGGAAACCAGTTAACAACCATTTCACTAGAATCTGTGTCACATGTTGCATTAATGGGGGGGGTGGGGGGGTGCCTTCATGGACATATTCAGCAAACTCCCTAGAGAGGAAAAATTCTCTTAGAGTCAAATTATATCTCATTTCTATACTGAGCTTGCCCTCCCACAGTAGTCTTTCACAACAATATTTTATGATCAGCATAATTTGTGTGTTTATTTTACAGCAGTCTACCTTTAAGTGCTCCAGGTAAAATTAATAAAAATATAAGCCATGCATGAGGCTAATAATATCTGCATTCATGCATAATAAAATAGAGCTATTTGAACCACGAAATGATTATGTAATTTGGGAAGCAGTTTTCCTTCTGCACCCTCATCATCATTTAGCACCCCAGGTCTGGCCAAGCAAATCAGAGATAAAGCAAACCCACAGAAGCACCAGGAGGTGACATTCTAGATAAATCCAACTCTCCCAATTTCACTTCCAGCTCACCATCCACTGACAGTGCAGGTGCTGAGGTGCCTCCTTCACACTGAGCATGACTTCCCTTCCCTGATCAGGTTTCCAATATGCCCTGAAGAGACCGGTGCTAAAAATAAACCTTGATTTCTATTTCAACCCCTGCACACGGCTAATACCCTTGGCCCCTGCCAAGACTGGCAAAGAACCCGCTGCTGTTCTTAGTAAACCTCATTAGGGACTGAAGCAGCTCCATCCCTTCACCCAGAGAGCTCCAGGCCTTCCATCCCATCTCCTGCCCCGTGTCCATGGACGCTGCCCCCCTTGCTCTTCCCTCCCTTGTGGAACTACAGAGGAGAGCAGAATGTGCTGACTTTCACAGCAACCTTTCTGCTGCTTATGATTTAATGACTCGTTATGCAAAGCAAACAAAAAAACTCCAGACTAAGCTTCTGAAACAGGGGGTGTTAGAGGGCTGCTGAATGTTAAGCATTGTTATGATTCTAAGGGTGTCCATAAAAGTTTAAAGCAGGCAACAAGAAGCCAATAAGCAATCCATTAATCAAAAGTGAACCTTCCAGCAAAATATCTCTGATTTTATAGCAAACTGTGCCAAATCTGAAAATCTTTTTGTCTTGTTCCACTACAAGCAGCTACTGTTTGCCAATAAGTGTTCAGATCCTTTAATTAAGTTTTGCACATAGTTTCAGGAAAGATGAGGAAAGTCAGCATTCAAGTTTGAGATTTCCAGGCACTGCCTTTCAAGCCGATTTCCACTCATGAATTAACATAGGTTAAGACAAACAGATGCAAGATCATATGTTTGAAGCTTTAAGAAAAATTAGGTATGGTATTGGTTTTTACACCACTACTCCTTGTTCAGACAACACCAGAGGAAGGATGCACTTCACACAAACAAGTGGACAACACAGAAAGTTCCTAATGATGAAGAGAAAGCCCTCCCTGTGTGCATTCCTCTTCTCCCTGTTTTCCCCTTTCTGTCTTTCCCTGTTGATCCCCACATCCCATCTTTGGGCTGCAAGGACTGACAGGCTCCACAAACAAACACATGAGCTTCCCTGTAGGCACCTTCTGACGGAGCAGCTGGGAGGCAGATGGTTCTCCTGTTTTGTCTGGGCAGCCACCAGATGGAAAGCACAGAGATCTCCAGAAACTAGTGCACACTCTCAGCTTCAGTAGGCTAGAAGAGCTTCCTGTTGTCTTATCCCTATCCCAGACTCCATTTGCAAACTTTGTACATTTATTCTCTACATGGGATACCTATTTTACTACCTTTATGTGCTTTCCTCCCTTTAAGACCATTTCCTCAGCTAATTCTGTACAACATTCCGATTTTGCTCCCAAAGCTTAAGGCAGTTTTGGGTGATTTCTTCAGTTCATCACAAATTTTGATCCCACTGGAAAACCCAACACAAGCATTCCTTTGCAGTATATGAATTAGCAGCTCCACGAGTAAGTATTTCAGACATACTTGCAAGAACTTAAGTTTTTACTTTTAACATCCACATTCAGATTAAGACCTAGAAATATT